CCTCGTGTGTGTGTGTGTGCAGGTGGGCAGCAAGAGCGATCGTCTCATGTCCGAGAATGTGGTGCGGGAGTCGCTCACGCTACTCAGGAACCAGGACAACGCCCTTCCTCTCTCCGCCGCGGTGCGTTCACACCGTCTCACATCACCATCGTGTCTGCCCCCGAACAAGAAACTCACTCTTTCCCCCCTTTTAACTCCGAGCGCAGGGGCAGAAGATTCTGGTGGTCGGTCCCGCTGCTGACTCGCTGCCCAACCAGTGCGGCGGTTGGTCCATCCATTGGCAGGTAATGATGCGTGCGTGTGCGTGTGCGGCGAAACGCTTGTCGTGTGCCATCAGCATTTCGTTGTGACAGTTTGCTTACTTGACGGTCAATGCCTCGTAATGGCGTTCGATCAATCCAGGGTTCGGTGAGCCCGAGCGAGTTCGACCCGTATCCGGACACGTCGACCATCTACCAGGGCATCAAGTCGCTCGCGCCCTCCGGCTCCAACGTCCAGCTCGTCGGTGCGCCGCGTTCCCGCCCTCTCTACGCCCACGCTTGCTGGTCCGAGATCACTGACTGCGACCCACAGCGGCGTGCGACTTTGACAAGTGCGACAGCTCCAACCTGAGGGAGATCGAGGCCATCATCGCGGCGTCGGTACGATCGTGCAACCCCATTTGGTCGCCTGGAGACGGCCGCATCAAACCAATAGCAGCAGCGGCCTGACTCACTGACTCGCTCACAGCAGGCCGATGTGGTGGTCTTGGCCGTCGGCGAAGGTCCCGAAGCCGAGGTCCTCGGTGACATCGACGATCTCACCATCTCGCCGTCGCAGATCGAGCTCATCAAGACCGTGCACGGCGTACGCCTCGGACCCCAACCAACCCAATGCTCGACCACCCTTCTCCCAATGCGGCTGATTTACTGTTGCTTTGTTTTGGTGTTGTTTCCAATGTGGCCAGGCCATCGCCAAGAGCGGCAGGAAGGTCAAGACCGTGATGGTGCTGGTGGAGGCTCGGCCGCGCATCATCCCCGAAGAACTCATCAACGCCACCTCGGCCGTCATCAACGCCTACCTCCCCGGACCCTGTACGCTTTACTGTTCCCTCCACTCTATTCTCTTTTCGATCAGTCATTCTAACTCCGGTGTGACTTCCCGTACGCGGGGCATCACCAATCAGACGCGGGCACGCCGCTGGCCGAGGTGCTGTTCGGGAAGGCCAACCCGTCGGGCAAGCTGCCCTTCACCTACCCGCGCACGACGGGCGACATCCACGTGCCCTACTGGCACTGGTACTCGGACGTCACCACTCCGCTCTTCCCCTTCGGCTTCGGCCTCAGCTACACCAGTACGACCGTCTCCCCCTGCCCATCTGCGCTTCCTCAACCCAACACCCCCTGACCGTGTGTCGTGTGTGTCGTGTGCGTTGCGTGTCGTGGGTCGTGCGCAGCGTTCGCTTATGACAATCTGCGCGTGTCGGACACGAAGCTGGCACCGGGCAAGCCGGTGACGATCTCGGTTCGGGTGACCAACAGCGGGAAGGTGCCCGGGAGGGAGGTGGTGCAGCTCTACGTGAGCGATGTCTACGCCACCGTCGCCCCCTCCGTCAAGGTCCCCTCCCCCAACCCCCACAGACACATGCACCAGCATTCACCGTGTGCTGGTACTAATTTGTTTTGCTTTACAGCTGCTGAAGAGGTACGTGAAGACCAGGAGCCTCGCGCCGGGTCAGTCGTACGTGGCGACCTTCACGCTGGCCACGCACGATCTGGCGTTTTACAACCGCGAGCAGCAGTTCGTGGCCGAGGCCGGCCTCTTCAACATTCAGGTACGCCCCCGCGCCTTTGCTTTCGCGTTGGTGTTGACTGACGTCGTTTCATTCTATTTCGTTCTTTCCCCCGGCAGGTGGGCACTCTGACCTCCTCATTCACCCTCACCGGCAAGAGCCTCATCTGCCCCGCTATCTAAGTTGCAAGTCCGCGCGTTACACGTTGCGAAGTCATTTTGTCAGCGGGAAAGAGAAGGCTTTCGTTTTTCCTTCGTCTTCGCTCTTTTTTCCCATGTTTCAAATCCCAGACAAACAACAGCACACAACATGAAGACAGCGACGGTGTGGGCACTCCTGCTCGCGCTCGTGATTGCGTCAGTGGCCCTGACCAGTGGAGCCTCGGCCGCCCGCAACAACGCGCGCACTGCGAAGAGGGACGCGTTCGTGGCACGCCTCATGGCCAGCCTCACCCTCAAGGAGAAAGTTGGCCAAATGACACAGGCATTACTTTTACCCATCATGCAACTTATTTATAATTCATGATTGAATTTATTCTTTATTCATTTAATGTTAACATATGTACCATCTGCACCACTGTCAATGTTGGCAGCTGCATGACCAACATTGTCCTGAGGGACATCCTCTTCATCCCTGATCTCACCAAGAACCTGATCTCAACCAGTCAACTTGTCAACCTGGGCTGCATCATCCAGCTCAATCATGCAGGTGCCACCATACAACACCCACAATAGTCATTCCCACTGATGATCACCAAGTCCATGAGCAACATGCTCATTGTCAATCTGTGCCCACTGACTGCTGAGCAAGAGGCCCAGGGCCTCTCTTCCAAGGCCCACCAGATGGTCACCCTTGACCATCTGCACCTGTGCCTCAGGCACATCAGCACAGACCAGCTCAAGATTGCAGTGCTCACTGCATCCAACATCAACATCAACACAGGGTCTGAGCTCTCTTCCTGCACCACATGCATCCAGGCCAAACAGCACCATTGGCCACAGTCCAGCCCCACACTCCAATACACCAATGGCCCTCATCCATTCCAACATCTGCAGCCTGTTCCCCACACAGTCATTCACAGGCAAGACCTACTTTGTCTCCTTCATTCTGGGCTGAGGTGATTGCCACCACTGTACACATCCACAACTGCACACCCTCATGGGCCAATGACAACCTGTCTCCTCATGAGCTGCTGCACAACACTGCACCTGTGCTGGGCCACCTTCACCCATTTGGCGCCTCTGCACATGTACTGCTCCCCAGCCACAAATGTGACAAGCTCAACCTGTGTGGAACCCTGGCCTGGTACCTTGGCCCCACACATGACACCTCTGTACATCATATGTGGATTCTGGGATTGTGCACCACCACCATGTCCTGTGATGTGATCTTTGTTACCCCCACACTCAATGCACACCCTCCCACATACCACAGACCTCCCAACACTTGCAATCTGTTGACAGCCCTGGACAACAAGAATGACTGATGTGTTGAACCTGTGCCAGGTCTCAACCAGCTGGTTGACACCTCCATCCTTGACAACTCTGACGCACATAAACACCATGTTGTGATTGACATGTCCATCACCAACCTCTTCAGCTCCCACACTACGCCAACGCCCTCCCCAACAACCCCACCTGTTACCTCACTGACAGCATCACCAGTGCTGTCACCCATGTCTTCACCTGCATTGTCACCCACCTGTTCCCCTACCAACTCACCTCACACTGCACCCAGTGTCATCCCCATCACAAGGAAGCCTGTCACCAAGGCCAAGCCCCCAGTGCAGCCACCAAGCACTCAACAACAAAAGGCGCCCAAACACTTCATCAAGACCCATGTGGATCCTGGTCCCCCTGCCAGCCAACCATCATACCATCAACACCCACTGGATGTTCAAGGTGAAGCACCTCACAAGTGGCACTCTAGACTGCCTGAAGGCCTGCTTTGTTGTGATGAGATGAAGGGCTACTCCCAAATCTACAGCATTGACTATGATGAAACCTATGCCCCTGTCATCCACATGGAGGTCCTGCATCTGCTCCTTGCATACACAGTGCTACACCAACTTGCCATCCACCTCATGGACATCACCACCATGTTCCTTCATGCTGTTGCACATGTACTGGCTTGATGTCACCCTTCTGCATGGGGTCTGAGCCACTTGAGGAGGAGGCGCCCTTCTCCTCCTTCTTCTTGACCATTTCGTTGTAGTACTCCTGGATGCGTGCTTGGCATTGGCCTCAACACCCGAGCTGATGGCCTTGCACACCTCACTGTGGAATTGCTGTGAGGTGTTGTGCATGAGGTCAAATGTGATCTGGAATGTGATGAAATCTATGTTCATCAGCCCAAGGGCTTTGTTGACAAGGAGCACCCTGAATGGGTGCAGACTTGACAAGAGCCTATATGGGCTCAAACAGGCTCCTCTCCTGTGGAACTGCACCATCAATCTTCATCTTCAGTTGAGTGGCTTCACCCCCACAGATGGTGACCCTTGCATCTACATTCAGCACATGGGGGGGGGGGAAACTGGCAATCATCTGCATCTACATCAACAACTGCCTCATCATCACTGAACCTGACAACATCCCCACCATCAAGGAGGTACTATCAAGCTGGTTCACCATGAAGGATCTCAGCATCACAACATCAATCCTCAGCATCAAGATCAACAACAACTGCAAGAAGGGATGCATGGAACTCTGCCAGCGCAGCCACATTGACAAACTCCTGCAGGCCTTCAACATGAATGACTGTAACCCCACATCAACACTGATGGAGCACTCCTTGCCAACAATGGGATGTTGTCAAATCATCAGAAACATCCTCATGAAGGCTCTCCCACACATCAAGCACAACAACCTTCTACATCTTCTTCACTTTCCAATCTAACCTACATCAATTGAGGGGGTGTGTTGGAGATACACTCTCCTCCAGCTAGTGACTCAACCATGCAATCCACTTATTACTCCATTTCCCATCCTTAAATAGTCAAACTATGTATCTCTTCTTTTTTTGTCATTCCTCAATACACATCGTGTCACCACTCGCCTATATTCACTCTCCAACAGTCCAGGCCGGTGCGCTGTACTGGTGACCCTATTTTGTACCCACAGCGCTAATAAATAAAAACATGTTGATTTTCTCATATAAAAATGGGGTATTTGGGGGCTACAGAGCTTGCACAGTGTTTACACCCCTGACTACAACAGCTCACCCCCCACTGCTCCACCTACTCGTCCAGCTCGTCCTTCCGCTTGGGGCACGCTGTGATGCGCAGGGGAGGGTAGAAGCTCTCGGCGATGTTGATGCGAGCGTTCGCCAACTTCTCGGCCGGCAGGCAGTGGAACAGCTTGGCCAGCTCGGCACACTCGTCCGGGTACCCCGCTTTCGGGCACGACCGCTTGTGCTTGATGATGAGGCCCAGGAACACGCACATGTCCACGAACGATGCATCGGACGTGTCGTGGGAGACGCCGCTGCTGGTCTTCTTTTCGTGGACCAGGTGCTGTTCCCTGAGAAAACCGTTGCTCGTCCTGAGGGAAGGGCTCGATGGTGTCACTCACATCTGAATGTCTGGTGGGTGAGTGGGTGAGAGGTACCGGCAGGGGTCGTTGTAGTGGTCGTCTAATCCGGGAGTGTAGTAACCACGAGGGATTGTGGGAGGCGACTTGACAGAGTAGACGCACAGGAAACCCTTGCCAGGGCGGGGAGGCCATCTGGTGGTCGGAAAGAACAGACAGCCCGGAGGAGGTGAGCATCACTCCCGTCTTTAAAGCTTGGAAGTGGCGTGGGCGGTGGAGGCAAGAAGACGCGAGGTGTTGGTGTGGGAGGGGGGGGGGATGGTGCTCACTCGTGGTTCTTGCGCTTCTTGGGGAGTCCGGGCTGAAGCACGTCGTGCAAGCTGATAAAGCCGTCAGAGCCGATCTTCATGTGGTACTCCTCGCTTTCCGATCCATATGGATTGCGCCACGTGGTCAGGTAGACGGTGAGGACCTTGCCTCTTTTGCCGCGGGCACTCACCGACAGCTGGTGCACACACTTGTTGCACGGTGGACTCTCCATCGCTTGAGAACTAGTGAGGGACAAGGGCAATGGCCGTTTTAGGGCTGGCTGCGTGGCACCCGTTTCACGCAACTTCAACCGATGATTATTGTGCGGAAAATAGGGGTCCGTTGTGTGTGTTTGTGTGTTTGTGTTTGTTTTTGTGTTTGTTTGTGTATTGGCCCTATTAAATAATATATTGTTATATTATTCTTGTTGCTTTGCTAGTCTTTCATCTTTTGTTTGTTTTTGTTCAGGAAATCTTTATCTTTTTCCTCAGTAACTAATTTACCTGGATTTATATAATAGGATATATTTTATAAATTCAGATAAATAATTAGCACTTTACAGACTTTACAGGGCTGGTTGTTTTAAGTTGCATTTTGAGTGAATTAACTGACCTTGATTTTGTTAACCAAGTGTTCATGAAAAAGGGTAAGTGACTCTTTTTTTAAGGTCAAAATGCACTTTTCTGTACGGAAAACTGTGCAGTTTTTCAGCTTTTTATGTGCAGATCCTGCAGAAAGAGAAATGGTTGAGTTGGAAATGTACAAATCAAGAGCTGTGTTGTTGTGCAAATCTGGGTGGTCTTGTGAAATGTGATGTCTGGGAATACTGAGGTGTTGTAGAAGTTAGACTGAAGAGTGAAAGACTTGCAACTGGAGGTGGGGGTTAGGGAAGTAGAGGTGAGATTAGGGGGAGGAATATAGGGAGTAAGGAGGGGATGGTTGAGGGTGTTGAAGTCATTGGTTGTGCTCTGGAGGGTGTTTTCATCCACTCCTCAAGCAAGGAAGTGCATGGCCCAGGTCATGTAGTCCTTGGGTGGGTACTTGAAGTTGGAGGCCTTGTTGGTGAACAGCAGGAGGTACCAGTAGTTCATGACTGCTCGCAAAAATTCGAAACAGGTTTAGAAAAAAGGCGGGATTGTGGTGTGGGTTCTGTAACGGTGGTGAGCGGGCACATGGAATGACATCGCTCATTTACGATTTGCTGGCCCTTCTGCATCGTAAGTTACGTGGGATGGAAGACGAGGCGGAGAAAGAGGGGCAGAGCAGAAAGCGCAGGGGGGAGGACAACGAACTGGGAGCCGATCTTGGTGTCGATGATGCCAGCCCAAAACGATTGAAGCAGGAGCCCGCAGATGAGGTTGGACCAAGCAGTGCAGCCCCACCTCCCACACAACAAGGAGTCGCTACTGGTGGGGCGAGTCAAGAGGGGGATGCGCAGCGGCTCGAATGGGCGCTACGAAAAATCGAGGAGCTGCGGCAGATGGCGCAGGAGAAGGAAGAACGAATTGCGCGTCTCGAGTCCACCAACCGCGATCTCAGACAGCAGCTGCAAGTCGTCGGGTACGAGCCCGCAGAGACGATGGAAGGGCCGCGAGATGAAGAAGAGGGCACCCTGAAGCGACGACGCAAGCGGAAGCGCAGAAACAGGAGGAAGCAGCCCGAACACAGCAAGAGGAACAAGAATGAGAGCTGCAGTACCACCGAGACGGAGCTGGACGACGAGAAGGGCGTGGCCGCACCGCCATTGCTCGTGAAGCAGGAAGTTGTCGAAGAGACCACGACGACGACTTGCGAGAGCGCGGGAACGCATGTGGAGGTCGACCAAGCGCAGAGGGAGAACGACGAGGTGCTGGAAGCGAGACTGGAACCGAAGGAGAAGGAGAAGGACGAGCTGTGTGTGGAAGAGAAACAACAGGGCCAGGAACAGCAGGCCGACCAGGAGGCGCAAGTGGCGGGAGAAGCGAGTGAGGTTGTGCGAATGCTGCAGGACATGTTTCCAGGCACATCAGCGCAGGTCATTGAGCACACCCTGGGCGAGGTGGCGGGCAGCACCGAGAAGGCCATCGACTGCCTCCTCAACCTCTGCACCGCACTCGACCTTACTCGCGCCGAATCGGAGGGCGCCAGGCCGAATATAGCTCCTTCTTCAGCTGCACCAACATCTACATCTACATCTACATCTACGTCCACCTCTTCCTCATCTTTCTCTTTCACCACTCCCTCCATCTCCTCGACGCGATCGGCCCACGTGTCGAGCCCATCACGGCAAAGCCCACGCCCTGTGCCGTCTTTCTCATCGTCTTCGTCTTCGTCATCATCATCGTCGGCGCCAATCACCTACACGAGGGCATCTTCGTCCGTGCTGGGAGAGCCCGACGAGGACGCTGGCGTGACCTGCCTGAGCGAACAGCAACAGCGAGCGCTGGATTTGGCCGAGCGTGGCTATTCCATGTTCCTCACCGGCAGTGCCGGCACCGGCAAGTCCTTCTTACTCCGCCAGATGATCGAACGCCTACGTCTCAAGCACGGCCCCGAAGCTGTGGCCGTCACCGCTTCTACGGGTACGTGACACGCTCACGCACATACCACCGCACACTCCCGACCTGCTGAATGTAATTAGTGCGACTGTATTCGTTATCGGATCTTGGTGAGTGCAGGTGTGGCTGCGATCAACATCGACGGCATGACCCTGCACAAGTGGGCGGGCGTTGGCCTGGGGAACGAGGGAATCAAGGTGATGCTGGGCCGCGCCTTCGGCAAACGAAAAGAGTACAAGCAAATGCGAGTGCTCATCATTGACGAAATAAGCATGGTACACCGCTTTTTCCCTTTCATGCCTGCGCTGACGGCTCGAACCAAAGCTGACGCTGCAGCCTCAGATCAAGTCGGACCTGTTCGACCAGCTAGAGTACATCGCGCGAAGAGTCCGCAACTGGAAGAAGGTGCCCGCGAAGGAGAAGCCATTCGGAGGCATCCAGCTTATTTGCTGCGGCGACTTCTTTCAGGTACTCTGCACCTAACGCTCCACCATCGGAGTGCTCACCTTTACTCACGTCCTCTTCCTTCCCCGCATATATCTGACTCGCCGGAACACAGCTCCCGCCAGTGCTCGACAAAACGTACTCACCACTTGGGTGCGCTGCCGCACATCGATAGGATGTCTAACTTGCTGTGTGTAATAGAAACAAACGAATGAGCATGAGCCAAGCCTTCGCGTTTAACGCTGAGTCCTGGCAGTCGTGCGTCGACGTTGTTGTGCAGCTCTCCAAGGTCTTCCGCCAAAAGGACGAACGGTACGCGTGACCTGCTCTCTTCTGCCCGGTCAATTCTCAACGAGGCCACGTGAATCGTGTTCGCACCACAGGTTTCAGGGTATACTGAATGAGATCAGACAGGGCGCCTGCTCCGACGAATCCAGACGTATTCTCAACGAGTACGTTTGATGCCCTAAAGACCAAGAAGGCGACCAATATGAGCGATTATAATGACACACATTTCTGCGGTGTACACAGATGCGTGGGGCGAAGGTTTGAGGACGACTTGGACATCCTGCCCACGAAGCTGCATCCGACCAATCAGCAGGTGGATGCCATCAACCAAACACACATGGACGAGCTCGACGGCGACTCCTGTCAGTACCTGGCCAAGGACAAGCTGCCC